GGCGTGTTATCTGATTAACCGTGGACCTCACACTGGTATTGACTGCAAAACACCTTTCGAGGTATGGTCCCAATCACCTGCAGATTACTCTACATTGAGAACTTTTGGTTGTACAGTTTATTATCACGTGAGTGAGGGTAAACTAGAACCAAGAGCAAAGAAGGGCGTATTTGTTGGTTATGGGGATGGAGTCAAGGGGTATAGAATTTGGTCGCCATCAGAAAATAGAGTTATCCTCAGTCGGAATGTGGTATTTGATGAAAATTCTATGCTTAATTTTGTTGAGAAGTCCATTGGTGCAGAAAATTCTGGTGTTGATAAACAGGTGGAGCTGCAAGTCACTCCAAATGAGAGTGAATTACAACCCCAAGGTGGAGAAGATCAACACACTACTGCTGAAACCACCATTTCTGATGTTCATCCGGAAGCTCGTCAGAGAAGCATCGCCATTGATAGAGCTAGGAGGACAGGTGTGAAGCCTCCGGTGAGGTACGAGTTTGAGGACATGGTGACATATGCACTACAGGTCGCCGATGAGGTGGAAGATGAGCCATCGATAGACGAACCATCTACATACAAAGAAGCTGTTTCGGGCAGTAAGTGCGCTAAATGGCTCGCTGCAATGAGAGAAGAAATGGAGTCATTGTCCGAGAATCAGACTTGGGAGCTGGTCACACGGCCTAAGGAGAGGAAGATTGTTACTTGCAAATGGCTTTTCAAGAAGAAGGAAGGAACCATCCCTGGTGAGGGTGTCAGATATAAAGCACGACTAGTGGCAAGAGGGTTCACACAGAAGGAGGGGGTTGACTATAATGAGATTTTCTCACCAGTAGTCAGACATACTTCCATCAGGGTGTTACTTGCGATGGTTGCACATCAAGATCTGGAACTTGAGCAACTAGATGTGAAGACAGCTTTTCTACATGGATTGCTTGAGGATGATATCTACATGACTCAGCCAGAGGGATTCGTGGTTCCAGACAAGGAGAATTATGTTTGCAAGCTGAAGAAGTCTTTATATGGACTAAAGCAGTCTCCAAGGCAGTGGTATAAGAGGTTTGACACTTGCATGATTCAGCTAAGATTCAGCAGGAGTCCATATGATTGTTGTGTGTATCACAACAAAGCTGATGATGGCTCCATGATCTATCTTGTTCTGTATGTGGATGATATGCTCATAGCTGCGAAGTCGAAGTTAGAGATTCAGAAGTTGAAGGGCCATCTAAATGCTGAGTTTGATATGAAGGATCTGGGTGCTGCGAAGAAAATTCTAGGCATGGAGATATACAGGGATAGAGATCAGAAAAAGCTTTTCTTATCACAGAAAAGCTATATTGAGAAGATTCTGTCAAGGTTTGGCATGTCTACAGCTAAGCCTATTGATACTCCAAGTGCCACAAACATCCATCTATCATCTGATTATGCACCAAAGTCTGAAGCAGAGTTGGAGTATATGTCTCGAATTCCATACTCCAATGCAGTAGAAAGCCTGATGTATGCTATGGTCTGCACTAGACCAGACATAGCACATGCTGTTAGTGTTGTTAGCAGGTTCATGGGACAACCTGGAAAGGAGCACTGGCAGGCTGTGAAGAGGATTTTCCGCTACCTGAGAGGTACGTCTGATGTTGGTCTCATATATGGAGGTGGTACTCACTGTTCTATGACCGGCTATTCTGATTCGGATTATGCTGGAGATGTTGACAGTAGAAGATCTATGACTGGTTACGTTTTCACTCTGGGTGGTTCTGTTGTTAGTTGGAAAGCAACTTTGTAGACTGCAGTTACTCTCTCTACTACTGAAGCAGAATATATGGCGTTGACAGAAGCTGCTAAAGAGGGAATCTGGTTGAAAGGGCTAGTTGGTGATCTTGGTCTGCATCAAGAGCGAGCTATTGTGTTCTGTGATAATCTGAGCGCTATCTGTTTAGCCAAGGATCAGGTCCATCATGAGAGAACCAAACATATTGGTGTGAGGTATCATTTTCTGAGGAATGAGAAGAAAATCAAGGTGGAGAAAGTGGGCACTGCTGATAACCCTGCTGATATGTTCACCAAGCCGGTCCCACATAGCAAGTTCCGACATTGTTTGGACTTGCTTAACATCAGAAGCTGTTAGTAGCCCTGCAGGGCACTTCTAGGGAAGAGGGGGAGGTCTGGCACAATCAAGAGTGCATCTGAAGAATCTGTATGGAGGATTCAAGTCAAGGTAGAGATTTGTTAAAATGCCTTGAATCTGACCCATCACAGCTCCGAATCCGGAGAAGTCCGTTTTCTGAGAAGTCCGTTTTCGGAGAAGTCAGAGTTCGGAGGAGTCAGAATTCGGAGAAGTCAGAATCCGGAGAAGTTAATTGGGCTTCTAATTATCTGTTAATTATGTAGTTTTGGGCCCAAGTATGTTAGGGTTTAGTCAAGCACTATTTATATGGGTGCTACCACAAACCCTATGAGCAGTACTCTGTTTTGTCTCTCCTTCAGAAATAAAACTGCTCCCCCTCTTCCCCGTGGACTAGCCAACACAACGTTGGTGAACCACGTTAAATCTGTTGTTGTGTTTTTCTGTTTGTTCTTTGATTACTCAATACCCTATTCCGTAACAACATGGATATTCTCAATCCAATCAACCCTGCAAGGTGACAAATATCCCTTTCACTGTATGCCTCGTGATGGATGAGCGGCGGGGTGGTCCCTCGGTCTTTGACGTGGTTCACCATGCGTGCGAGTCTGGACCAATGTTTGCCAAGTAAGATGATATGACCGGTCACCTTTTCTCAAAGGTTAACCGGTCATTTCTTGAGCTCAACCCGTCTCTTTGGTCTTCCGGAAGATCCTTCGTAATATAAGGTGATATTTTGGCTTTCGCCCAAAATGTGACTGCTCACTTTTTCAAGGAAAGTGACCGGTAAACTTTTGACTCGTCTCAATCGAAGAGTTAACCTCATTTGGTGATTGATGAAAGTGACCGGTCATATTTTGACCTGTCCCTTTCGGTTGTCCGGGCCGGGTATAGGAATATACTCATCATATCCAATGTCGGTGTACCCCAAGCATTGCCCTAACAAATTCCATACATCAAATAATTGGTTCTTTGAATATTATTACTACGAGTTATAGTGTCCTTTTGTCTGGTTATATATATACAAAGATTATTGGATGATTCCATATAACAACAAGAGAAAAACAACAAAGGATGGGCAGTGGGATATATGTTTCGTGTCACCAGTCTTATTACTCCCCCACGGACTAATGCAATTGTCGTCCCATAATCTTTATTTCAAAATTTTTTACTTAAAAAAAATGAGAACAGAAAATATCGAATCAAATTGTAACGTTATAATTAGCGTATACCATATTTGTCTCCATTGGAGAACTACGTACCCTTTATCATTAGTGTTGTGCAACTAAATTTTAACTACGAACAAAAATTAACGTTATATGAAAATATCATTAGTGTTTAAAAAAGTGCTCATCATTCTATTCCTCGTTCAGACATCTTCAAACAAAATTCTCGTTCCTTTTGACCATAATGTTCTTCACGTTGTTGATCAATTCTTTAATACTCCGTATAAAAGATACAAATTAGGAATTAAATCATTTGTACCTGATAATTCTGTAAGCATAATTAGAGATAAGGCCGTGATTCTGATGCAGACCGAGTTCCCGTTTAGGATTTATTGTTATAATGATTAAGGTGAGGATGAGACTCACGAGAATACAGAGGCAGAGAGAGGCGTAAGATTGGTGTGTTAACCTCTGCCTAATGACTGCTTTAATTTGTTAGGAAGGTGGACCACCTAAAATGTATCTACAAAGATTTATGACACCCAAGGAGCCATTAGGTTGTTTACAAAAATATCATATGTTATATAACTTCAAACAAAACTACATTTTCCATATCCTGAATTCCTCCTAGTAAAAGTTCAATGTCTCTAGTTATATTTCAGAGCACGACCTCTCCTCTGGATCGAGACATAAATGAAAAGACTGTGATTACCCTAGAGGCACTCTCTAGCACTTGACCTATAGCATATACTCCCTTCGTCCTAAAACTTTCTTCCCAGAACACTATTCCAACTTCACGGGAATTTATATTTATTTGTGTTTTTTCATGGCCTATATGATAAAATAAAATATTCTTGTCACCACTTGTTTTGTTGAACTTTTGATGTAGTTTTTAAATATGTATTTTTATTTTTTATTTCTATACCAATATTTAAATAAAATAGATTGAAAAAACTTGGGATTTTTCTTCGTTTCGCGCAACGAGAAGAAAGTTTTAATTCACCAAAAAATCAAATAGATGAATTCATGGTAGTGCACACTAGGTGTTTGACAAAATGCCCAAATGTAGGTTATTGAGTTTTGAGACAAAAAAGTACTATTGTTGTAGAAATACTTCTGTTCAAAGTGATTGTAATGTAAAACACCCACAATTTGATATTCTTTATTGAAGCATTTGGGAATATTACATGTAGGCTATATTGCTAAGATATATGTTTGATGCTGATTTTGCTGCTATTATGAAACCTATATTCAAATTAAAATGGGTAATAAAGTGATGAACCAGATTGGATGCTGGATTATGAAATGCTCTAGAGTGGTTAGATGTCTCAATGTGCTCAATTATCAAAGTTTATGTATAGTTGGTACAGTGGCTGCAAATTGTCTCTCACTCATATAGAAATGCAGTGTTTCTTGGACAACCTTTAGTGCTCTGGTCAACATTTTATTTTGGTGTGCAGATTTTGAATCATTCTCACTAATCTACCTTTTACTCCTATCAACATTTAAATTGAAAAATTTGTTTTACTCCTATCAACTAATCTGTTTAATAAAGCAGTTTCTCCATATTTGTAAAAAAACAGTTTGCTTTCAATTTCCTTCTGTACATACTGTGTAAAAAAATTAATTTGTAATGCAAAAAAATCATTTTCTTGCATCTTGTTTTAAGCTATAAAAGAAAAAGAACTAAAAAAAAGTGACATATCATTGAATTTCTCTTAAAGATGGATGATCTAACCTCAGGGTAGTGATGCAGGATAGGTGAGTAATGGTCAAGTGTTATGTAGATCTTTTCCAGTAGGCCCAAGAGTACATCCACTTGATCCCCAAGAAGATTAACATGTGTTTTAAATGTACAGCATAAATTACATGCACATGCTATTTGAGGGCACACATAATAGAAGATAGAAGTGTGCTTTGTCTAAAATGGGCACTTACACTGTTGGGAAAAAAGTGACAAGGCATAGTAAACTAGGTTTATCTCTTGAACCAAAATAGGAGATGGAATGTATTTTGGGACAGTCAAGTATGGAGAGATTGAAATTTTCAGCTGGGCGAAGGGAACAGTATGACAAGGAGAGAACAGTATGACACCCCCTCATGTGGTTGCTCTTACAAATGCAGTACAACGCATTGCAGCGATTCGGGAAAGGGAGGCAGAGCAACGCATTTTGGCGGAGCAAGCTCGTATGTATGCAGAGGAAGCTCGTACTCGTGCGGACGAAGATAGGCTGATGATGATAGATACATCTACCATCTCAGATCTCATTCGACGTCGATACTTTGAAGATAGGATTGCAGAGGTTATGAGGAAGAGGGGATACAATTAATTTGAATTCTACATTTGTAATCTCAATTTTGTTTAGACATTTGTGTTATTGTGACTTTTATTTGTTAAAAATTTTTATTCATGTAAACAAATGTTTTAGTTCTTGAATTATTATTATGATGTGTTTCTCGTATTTTTTAAATGGTTGTAATAGACTTTTATATTGATGCATTTTTATGATTATGTTCTTTATATTTCTTTACCAACTTTTATTTATATAACTTCATATCGAATTTTTAAAGTGTGTCGTCATAATTTATATTCTATTTTTAATTTTCCATATTCAAATACATTACCAAATAATTATGAATAATTAAGGTATACTCCGTACAATTTAAATCTTCACAACGAAATATAAATATTTATAAAAAACCAAAAATAAAATATATTGAGTTGAGAAAAAGTAAAATAAAATGATTAAAATATGTCAAAAATCTAAAGTGAGTAAAAAATAATGACTTGCCACTGCAGGACATACCACTCTAATGCCATGCCACTGTGTGACTAGATTAACATTGATTGGTTAAACAGTGCTATGTCAGCGTGTGACATTCCAGTATATGACTTGCCATTGTTCATGCTCTAATACAAATACCTACTCTACGCATTGCCAGCCATCAATTTGTGTGCACTCTTCAAAGATCAAGCCTAGGAATACAACTAAATCTATAGTAAATTGCCAAAGTAACAAAAATTGGTACTATCTTCTGCTGAATTAGAATTAGATTCACTGATAGACATACTCATTTGCTCCATGACTAGATTCAGAGCACAGATATGATTAAAAACGAGCTAATTATAATTTTTCAATCAACCAAAGTGTATAGCGGAATACAAGAAACACTATTTGAGTGAGAAAACAATGCCAAAGTCGAAGTAAAGGCAACAAGAAAAGCACCATTGCCAATTGCACAAAAACTGAGACTAGAAACACAATCAGAGATAGGCCGCCACCAGACCAGACCCCAACCCATTCAAACCCCTAAGTCCAAACCCCTTCTCTAGATGGCCAGCCCAAGGTGTGCTGGCCACGCAGGCTAGACCCCCCCTCCCCCGATCAAGCCCACTAGCAGCGCCGACCCGCCACCAGACACCAGTACCTAATCCCCCTGTTGCAGCCCACCCTTCTGCATTTAGACTCCTCCCATTTGCGACCTATTCGTACTCCAAATTAAACTCGCAACCTAACATCGTATCTTAATCAAAATTCAGGCCGACGCAAATCCAGCGACAAAACTCGAACCAAACAAATTAGTGAAAATTGAACATCCACTTCATTTCTTTCCCATTTATTTCCCTCTCTATTTCTTTTGCCATCCAATTCCTCCATGTTTCCTTTGCCTATTTGCCAAACAAAGTGTTAAGGAAACCCACAGGTGACATTAAGTGATCATTAATGCGGTTATTATTGCGGAATTTATGCTTCATTCAAGACACATTTTAGGACTATGACTAACATTCATCACGTTTACTAGCATTAATCTCAGTCCTTTGTGGCTTTGTGACACCTTTAATACTCCGTCTTATCGTCTCTTTAATTCATTTACAGTTGTGAATTCACAATAAAATACAACAAAAATATACTCGTAATACTTCACTCTGCATAGTAAAGTAACATAAAAAGGTACCCAAAAAAAATTAACGTGACAAGGCTTTCTAGCGATTTCCCAGAAATTATTCGAAGAATATGGGAATCATATTTAACAATTTTCACAATTATTTTTTGTTTTAGACTCGTTGGTTAAAACATTTTGAACATGAGTAATTTACCTAAATAAGATTGAAACATAATGACTTTCTTAATATAAGATCATATGTTTTTATTTCTCCATGCTAGACCATTGGTCATTTTCCATTAGTCATTATTCAAATAAATGTCCACCATCACTGGATATAATTCCTCTCACTAGACATTATTAAGTACTATTTAGGAAATAAAATGGTTTAAATCCTACATTGGGAAATGACTTATGTTTTAATCCTATTTAGTGTAACTTTTATTTTGAACATACTAACAGTGAGTGATCATTTCCGTTTATCTTTCTTCTACAAAAATCATGATTATTTAGATTTTAATTCATTAAAAAACGTCACGAGCAAAACAGAAAATTTTTGGATTTCAATTAAATAAAACTAAAATGTAGAGTAATATAATTAGGGTCTGTTCTTTAGAGTTAAAACTCTTAACTTCCAGTTTCTTGTTGGGATTGCGCGTGCCCTTCCCCCAACCCCGCATTAGTATGATATTGTCCGCTCTGGGCAAGCCCTCACGGATTTGTTTTTGGGCACTTCCCAAAAGGCCTCATACTAATGGGGTTGGGTGAACCTATATATTTTGGTCCATTTTTTCTTCTCCCTTTGATGTGGGACTTGGAGGAATCCCCAACAAACCTCCCCTCAACCAAGGACCACACAATTTCCGACCTCCCCTCCAGCGGCAATCCATTTTTCCTTTTTATCTCCTAACCATCTTGCATCGCCGCACACTCTTTGCGGGATGCGCCGCCCGACCTCATGTCGGGAAGACTTTCGACACAAGGTTCAAACTGCAGATCTTTCCTTTGCTGGGCTACACCATTTGATCCGCCAAATCATCTTGTACCGCCGTGGCTATAACTTCACGGGACACGCCGCCCGACCTCATCTCGTCGGGAAGACTTTCGACACAAGGCACCACCTGCAGATCCTCTTTCTTGGTCTTGGTCCTATTGTTACACCGTCACACCGAAATTTTTCTACACTACACAGTCCGCCTCACGCTCACAAGAACCTGGGCTCCGATACCACATGTTGGGACTGCGCGTGCCCTCACCCCAACCCCGCATTAGTATGATATTGTCCGCTTTGGGTCAAGCCCTCACGGATTTGTTTTTGGGCACTTCCCAAAAGACCTCATACTAATGGGTTTGGGTGAACCTATATGTTCTGGTCCATTTTTTCTTCTCCTTCCGGTGTGGGACTTGGAGGAATCCCCAACATTTCTTCCAGTTTTTTCCAGTTGCTTCTAATTTTTTCCAGTTCCTTCCTGTTTCTTCCAGTTTTTTTCCAGTTTATTCTAATTTCTTCGAACTATATTTATTTTCTTCAAATTCTTCCTACTTTCTGACAAATCACTCTAAAAAAATACTCCCTCCGTCCCAAAAAGATTTACACCTTTCAAAAAAATTGCGTCCCACAATCTCCTACCCATTTCTATTAAAAAATCACTTTTACCCCTTACTTTTTCAAACCTTACCTATCACATCATACCTTTTTCCTAATAATCTACACATCACATCCTACTTTTACCCATCACATCAAGGGTATTTTTGGAAAGTCAACACAAAATTATCTCTCACTTAATTTCAACTTTAGTCAAAACATGTCAATCTTTTTTGGACGGAGGTAGTATATTATTATTATTACAACTTTTTTTAATTACAACTTTTATGGATAAATAGTTATATAGAATATTTAAAAAATTACAACTTTTAGTTAATAATAAATAGTTATTATTATTATTAAAACTTTTTTTAATTACAACTTTTAATCTACATAAAAAAATTAGGAAACTATTTAAAAAATTATGGATAAATAGTTATATAGAATATTTTTTATTCTAAATTTATATAAGGTAAATTATATTGAAGGGTCTAGAAGAATAATATTATGAAACCAAGAGAAAACTACATTTTGAAAAAGAAAAAATGACCCAAACAGTGTAATATTTATGCTAATTTTATATTCTAATTATTTTTTTAAACTAGCTTTTTATATATGAAAATAATAATCGTAATATTTTTTATCTTAAAGACAATCATTAAGATAACGTGATAACACCACCACCACCACCACCAACAACAACAACAACAAGAAGAAGAAGAAGAAGAAAAATAATAATAATAATAATAATAATAGTGATAATAATAATAATAATAATAATAATAATAATAATAATCTATAATAACAAGAATCAGAATGAGAATAATATAAAACCATACATAATTTTTTCAAAAAAGTTTTTAAAGATTTTTCAATGTTTTCTAGTTTTTTCAGTTTCTTTTAATTTTTTCAGTTTTTCCAATTTCTTCCAGTTTCTTCCAACATCCAGCTCTTTTTTTCAATCCTAAAGAATAGACCCTTAGTATAAAAATGATTTAACTAGACTTATTGTTAGAATATGTTTTCGACTTTGATACCATGAAAGAATTTAGGATGGGAAAGAGTTACTGGATTGGGCAATAAGATACTTGGGCTGAACTGCATTAAAAGATTGAATCCAATCGATTACTTAGTTCAACTCAAGAGTTTATATATACCGATTTATTTTCTCTTCAAGTTCCGATGTGGGATACTTTTTAATACTCTCTCTTAAGTGGACAACCAGGTCATTTTGAATCTAACCGGTTGACCAATTACAAATGGACTGCCCCTCCCCGGGAAATGAAAGGATCGAAAGTGCCAACGTCTAAAGGACTTCTAGACGAACAATCGGATTACATGGGCCACATGCCATTTTTCCATACGGACAACTAACTAAAGATAAATGGACCGCTAGGAATGAACTTCTAGACGGACACCTTAACAAATAAGATGGGCTAAAACAGCAGCAGCGAACGGATCTGTGCCGATCGGCCAATCAACTGTAGACTTTTTAGAAAATAATAATGGAGAATAATTCTATATTGAATTGTCTTGTTGAATACAAAGAATCAATCGTCTTTATATAAGAAGAGGGTAAAACAAATAAATAAACTTTTAATAATTCTATTCTTACTAAAATAAGAATCTTATCAAAATTGGAAAAATATCAAACTCTAAAACATATTCTAACACTTATTTTGTCCAAAATTTTCAAAATGTATTTCATGATACTAGTATGCAATATAAATTCAGAGTAATTAATACTCTCTAATAAAAATACATCTAATTTAATTGAGAAAAATCAAATTAAACGATTAGAGTGAGAATATACCACTATCGGCGAGTTTCCACTGACACTAGCATGTAGTGTCAACGGATGACACTCGCTCATTTGGAGCATTCGCTAACTCCCTCCCTAAACCTCGAGAAACTCCAAATGAAAAATTGATAGTTTCTACCCGCTAACCCCCTTCGTAAACCTCATATCTCACCCCAACTCAGCCCAACCCCTGCGCCCCCACCCCAGATCCTCTTTTTACCCCCAAATGTGTGGCTATTATGCAGCAATGCATAATAGACACACATTTGGAGAGGATACGAGGGGGGTCTAGCGTGGGGTCGCAGGGGTCGGGCAGGGTTGAGGTAGAGGTTTAGAGAGGAAGTAGGGGGTAGGAATAATCAATTTTTTATTTGGAACACCGGATGAGCTCTAAATGAGCGACCGTCATCGGTTGACACTAGATGCTAGTGTTAACGGAATCTTGGGGTGCCACTATATATATATGGAAAATGCTAGGGGTACACTTTTGGTGTACCCCAAACATCCCCCACCCCCTCCATCACCACACAAAAAAAGCAAAAAAATTCAAAAAATAAAATAAAAATAAAATAAAATGAATGGTAGAGAGGGAGGGTGGTGTACATTTGGGGTACACCTTTGGTGTATCCCTGTATATATTCCTAATATCCTATCCATATTTGATTCGCCGTCATCTTATACCTGAGCTGTTTGTACCAATTAAAGCTCATAGGTATATGGCCATAAAGACTATGCGTCAAGAACTCTTTCTTCTTATGTTATTATTATTATTGATAGGTCCGACGGCGGCGTTTGTTAACAATGTTAGCGACGTGCCGGGTATGGCTCGAGCGGGAGAAGAAGACCAGGCGGCGGCGCCGGCGCCGGCGCCGTCGGGCGGTCGTTTAGGCCAGTGCAACTTGTTCAGGGGGAAATGGGCCGTAGATCCATCGTATCCTCTGTACCAGCCCAGCAGCTGCCCATTCCTCGACCCGGAATTCGATTGCCTCAAATTTGGCCGCCCCGATAAACGCTACCTCAACTATGCTTGGAAGCCAGAGTTTTGTAACTTACCCAGGTAAAAAATTTTAGTCCATCCTTCAAAAAAAAGAAGAAAATTCAAATTATGAAAGGTTTTGTTTGGTAAACGGAATTCAAACTATAGAATTGAAATAGGGGATAACAATTCCAATTCTATTGTTTGGTGGCACAAAAATATATGGTTTTATAATTGGTTGTGCCAAAAATGAATTGGAATTGGATACATAAGTTCAATGCAAATCAGTTTCATAAAATTTTAACTCACAATTCAATTACAATTTCATCAATTCTGTGTATCGAACGAGCCCTAATTTAATTTATTTTGAAATTTGCATAGGAAAAAATTCAACCGCCGTGAGTATTTGCATAAATTTGACATTTTACTGTCCAAATTGATAATCGTGTTGATTCCAAACAAACTTTTTGTCACATTTTTCCTCAATAATCGTGTTGATTCTATTATGAAATTTTTTTGTGTGATGCAATGAGTACTTGCAATACTTTGTCAAATGATTAATTAAATTTAAATAAAGAAAATAAATTAAACTAACCATATAATAATAAGTGTAAAGATTTTTTTGATGAGACGAAAGAAGTACGTAATACTCTCTCCATTTCAAATTAAATTATTTATTTACTGTATTATTCATAAGATCAAAATTTATTTCTATCCTTAACTATGTTTAAGGGAGAAAGACTAAAATAGGACTAAAACATTGAAAATATACTAAAATAGGACTTCCATGTTTTTATTTCCGAAATAGAACTTACATTACCAAACATGGTCACATACATTATCAAAAAATATAGTAATGGACACAAGTATACCCCACATGAAAGTTGGTACTTTTTTCTATGTTTTAGTCCTATTTAAGGTGATTTCTTTATGCTTAATAACGGAGTAATTAATAATTAATAACGTGGTTTTTCTAATGATTTTCAATGCTAATCTTTGACCATTTGATTTTACGCAGTGCTCGTACTAAACGTGCGTTGCAATTAATAATGTTTTGTAACATAATTAAATTGATGGAAATTTAATGACACAAATATGTTCAATTAAATTCTTTCATAGGGAGTTCACGATTGACATAAATTTGAGTAGGTCATGTCCTAGAAAATTCAAAAAAGGTTGAACACAAATATGTTCTAGGTCTTCTTTAAATTTGAACTTATACAATTCTCTCTTTTCCCAAATTAGTATCAATTTCATCTTTCATGATCAATTTTGAGTAAATATATCTTTTACTTTTTAATGTGCAAAATGATTTTTTTTATAAATTTTTTGAGCAAGTGTCACTTTCACACCTATTGCTTGAATGGGGTATTTTGACTTTGAGTGTGACTACTAAAATTTGACATGTAAATATTACAAGTAGTTCCTAATTAAAAAATTTCATGAGATTTTGTCAATTTGTCGGATAACGGACGTGGGGACCCAATTTTTTGAGCTGAAGAGAAATTTGTCTTACTACGTACTCCGTATTAATTATAATTACACAACTGGCCACTTTAAAACACTTCCCTTCATTACCCACTCAGTTGGCCAGCCGTCAGTCTTTACCACTTTTTATCATTTTTAAAAACAAAAAGAGTAAATTCCATAAAAGACTCCCAATTATAAGTTGTTTTACATATTTAGTCTTTACATATTAAATATTACTAATTTAGTCCCAAATTATTATATTCTTTCCACGAATGGTCCTTTGTTAACATTTCCGTTAAGAAATGGATAAAATTGTAAATTCACACTCCTTTCTCTCCTCTATTGAACCCAAAACCGAAATCACCATTCTTTTCTCAATTGTTTGTCTAACTGGTGAAATCCAAATTCGAAACCCGTAACCTTCATAGGTAAGTTTTAATGTTTATTTTCTTTGTAATTTCTTGAGACTAACCAAAAAAACTCATCCATAAAGCTAATTGGTTTTGATTTTAGGTTTCACCAGAAAGACTAATAATTGATAAAAGAATGATCATTTTAGTTTTGGGTTTAGAGCTTCAAACTCAGCGATGAGTTTGGAAAAGAGTACGAGAGGAGAGAAGAAACTTAATTGAGGAGTGAGAGAAGCATGAATATACAATTTTATCCATGTTCTTAACAAAAACGTAGAAAAAAGACCATTTGTGAAAAATGGTATAATAATTGGGGACTAAATTAGTAATATTTGATATGTAGGGACTAAATATGTAAAATGTCCTATAACTGAAGACTTTTTATGGAATTTACTCAACAAATTTATCTAATTTGATTCTCAGATAAATCATCACTCTTGTCAATACTTAATTTATCTAATTTGATTCTCAGATATTTTTGAAACTAAGCTACATCGTTTTATAAGCCTATGAGTTGATAAACGATCAGTTTTATGATTAAAGTTCAATTTACTCCCCACATTTGACCGTACGGCTGGTTCTCAGAGACATTCAAGAATGAGGTACGAGGATGGGTTAGGGTTTCATCTTTGTATGAATCTATGAGTTGATAAATCATCAATTTTGTGATTAAACTCTAATTTACCCCTCTAATTATCTATTCGACCGGCTCTAAGGAGCCTCGGAGTTGGAACTCATCCTTTTATGAATCTAAGAGTTATAAATCATCAATTTTGTGCAAGGGGGAAAAATCTCGAAAGATTGATAAGATTTTCATACTGTGCGTATTTTCGAGCATGAAATCAACTAAAAGAATTTTTGTGATTGTATATATATGCGACTCCTATTCATATGGTCAAATGTACGATATCTTTTTTTTCTTTACATATTTTCATCAATACTTTTACTCAATAATATAATCACACGTTTTTATTTTGCATATTTTTTTTAATGTTGTTTTCTAAAAATAACTCCGTTATAAAAAGACGTACACATTTATATATCCTCCATACAGGTTTGATGGGGTGGAGCTGTTGAAGAGATGGAATGGGAAGAAGGTAATGTTTGTGGGTGACTCACTGAGTCTAAACATGTGGAACTCGTTGGCTTGCATGATTCACGCTTCCGTCCCCAGCGCCAAAACCTCCTTTTCCCGCCAGCTACCTCTCTCCTTTGTGTCCTTTAACTTTA